TTTTGGTTCAATCTATTTCTTTTTTTTTAATATCAATACTATTATTAATATTACTATTATTAATATTATTAATATTATTATTACTACAAATATATACTATTGCTATTTAACTTATCATAATCAAATGTTTCATTATTATTAATGCTATTATTATAATTACTATTATTATTATTATTGCTGCGATTATTACTACTACTGCTACTAATACAATTATTAATGTTGTTACTACCACTACTACTAATACTATCAATATTACTACTGTTATTTAACCCATTGTTAATATTGTTCTCACCAGACCAAGAATTTGCTTTGCTACGAGTGTTGGAACTAATTAATTGCTTATTTTGTAGATTAGTTTTCTTTTTCTTTTTTGGCGGCATTACGAATGAATGAATATTTTTTATTATTTTTGAGAATAGAATTTAATTGGCTAACATCACTAGTTACTAGTATTATGACTTGAGAAAAGAAAAGAAAGATGTCAGCTGCTACTATTTACTACTATTATCATTATATACAAGGGCTAAGAAGGAAAAATAGATTGATAAAGAAAAAATATTTTAATTGAATCGGATTTACCAATTTTATTCAAATCATTCATTTTATTAATTTTATTTGAATTAATTTTATTTGATTTATTAGTTTTATTCAAATTATTAATTTTATTCAAATTACGTATTAGTTTATTTAAAAATCTTACTAACTGATCCTGTGGTCCTAAATTTTGAATTGGATCTGACAATAAAATTTAACTGTTTATTTTTTTATTGTTCATAAAAGAAAATTATGAATTTTTAATAATATATAATATTCCATGAATCTTACTTGTAATGCTGTAAATATAGTACATGCAATAAAAAGTCTTTTTAGGAGAATTAGATTTATCATCAAAAATATTGAGCATAACAACTGATAATGCAGCAGCAATTGATAGTGTTGTGCATGAAAATTAATTAAATTTTGGGGTGGGTTACAATATTCCAATTGGCTAATTTGAGCGTGACTTTCAAATATTTGGAGGGGAAATAAGAAATGAATGTTTTTACAAATAATAATAATGGTCATACCCACATATTCGATATTGCTGTATGGATTGCAAGTTCATGATGGGACAGTCACTAAAGTACATAATTTATGAAGGAGGTCGTAATTCCTATAATCTTATGGAGGATTTTAACAGATATTTCAATCACAATTAATTGAATTATGGTGCTACAACTTGATATAGAGATCAGGTGGAACTCCAGCTATTTGATGCAAACAATTTAAAGTACAAGCAAATATGAAGAGAATAGATAGTAGTGGTGTTTAAAATAGCCTTAATTGTCGGAACAAATAATTTGTTTTTTTAAAAAAAAATTTTTCATTTTTATAAAAATAGATCACCAATAAAATTATAAAACTGCGATTAAGCTTGGGGTTCAAACCGTGGTGGTAAACCGCCGGTCGGTGCGGTTCACTAGCCAAACTGGAGTTTATAAACCGAACTGAACCATCCCTACTGATGGGAAAGAGCTAGGTATCATCCGACGAGCTGGTTTCTATAGTTAATTGGGTTAAATAATGCGTTCGTGTAGGCCTTTAGAAAAAAAAAAGTAAAATACTCACCATAAAATTGTTATATAAATTTTTTGGTAGCTTTCGTATTATTTCCAAGTTGTCACTAATGACTTTACTTCCAAGTGGGGACTTCCACGATAATTCAGAAATAGAAATATTGCCTAAATCTTTAAGTAAACGTTTATAAAGAGGCGATTCCCCCTCCCGGATATTTTTCTGTATAAGCAAGATTTGAGTTAACTCAAATATAAATCAAATATAAACCAAATATCTATAAAAATTTACCGTGAGTGTTGATTTTAGATCCGTAAAGCTAGTCTCGATTTCCTTTAAACTGTAAGCTTTTTCTTCGCCCTTTATAAGAAAAATTAGCATATTTTGAGAGTTTTAGTTAATATCAGAGCGAGAATCAAAACATACCGTTTTTACTGCTCCAATATCTCGTAAACTGCATCCCTTCGAAAACGTCATCGAACTAGTGCAAAAATACTATGAGTTAGATCATGATCCATATTACAAATTTGTATTTTTGACCAATGCGCAATCTATCAGATAGTTACAAAGTTGCCATCGTGTGGTCATCACGCAAAACGGTCTTTGTATAATATTAAAATAACAACATAGAAGCTTGCATGTAAATACAGTTTAATCATCCTTCCACGTTTCCAAGGATTATACTCCTACTCACGGGCTATAGGACAATTAAACTGTTATGTTCACTTCCTCAGAGTTATACAGTATTTGCACCATTCATCATTCCAGTACCAGTGACCCTTATTTCAAAAGAATCTTTAAAAGTTTATTTGTTGCCGATATATTTTGTGAGTCATTTTCCACTATCGTTCTTGATCGTCTTTTGAAATCCAGGGTTCCTCCTCTATAACTTGATAAATAACGGAGACCGCGGTTATATGATTCAAAGGAGAATTTGTGAGAAAATTATAAACCTTTTTGTATAATTCAATAAGCATTTTTTTTAAAAAAACTTGTTTCCAAATTTGGTGAAACAATAAATTTGTTGTTTCTCTGTTCCGTTTCCTATTCCTTCTGATCAGCCAATAAAAGTTAGTTTTGATTGTGCAACAAGGAACAGGAAACAGGAACAGAACAACTTTGAACGCTGAATCTACCCGGATCAAACTTATTTTAAAATTTTCAAAAATACCAGTTTGAATCTCATTTACCACAGTTTTACACAGTAGTTGACCAAAAAAAATCCTCATTAAATCATATGGGTTGTTAGAGAATTGTGCGGTGTCCTATTTGATGCCTCTAAAAATTTCCTGTAATTTATGATCACAATTACAAATTCGTGCTGATTAGCACGGAATTTCGTTTAAGGGATGGATATTCAAATATCATCCATTGAAATTTAATGGATTTGTTTACAACTCATTAATTAGAATTAAAAAAAATGCCTAATTATGAGATAAATTAAAAGTAAATAGTATTACAAGAAACCAGCAGCAGTATTAGTATTAATGTGCGAGGCACATAAACCTTTAAAATATGGCGGTTCATGATACAAATTTGATTTGTGTAGTAAATAATAAAATGTTTACATGATTTACAAATTAATATCAAGTATTTGTTTGTTTACATTCTATCAAACACGTAAATAAAAATAATTTGTTGTTATTCGCTTTGGCTTCTGAAAACTTATAAAATCATGGTCAATACAAAGCTTGAAACCAATGTAAAACTATTTTGCATCTTTGGCTCAATGGTATCCGTCCAGCCAAAGAAATACATCAAAGGTCCTATTACTATAAAAAATAAAACACAGAAAAGATATGGAATAAACCGTATTAGTATTATTATGGAAAATACGGAATTTTAGTATTAGATGATAATAATAACAACAATAATAAAACAACGCGTACGGTGCAGATCAATTAATTACCAAAGCAAAAAAATTTTTATTATATATTATCTTCCATGACTTTTTTAAAATGTAAAGCCACTGGAAAAAATGGGAACTTCTCTTATATAGAAATAATCAATCAACCTCTTTTGAAAATGTATTTTTGGTTTCATTAAAAAATTGGCTATACTAAAAAAACCAAAATAGATTTCTTTTATTTTTGAAGAAATCAACATATACTTTTTAAGGCGCGTGTATGTATATAGACACCATCGCCGTCAAAAAAAAAAACAGTAAAAAAAAATAACCCTCAAAGTTATTCAAACCAATCAAAGAAATTACGAATTAAAAAAAAATTCATCAAAAGTGAAAATTTTTTGAGAGTATAGCCTACAGTGCAAGATACCTAGTCCCATAACTTACTGCGCCTCCACGACAGCAAATTGGTTGGTCATGTGATATTTCTTAGTTATTCCATAAATAGTAAAATCGGCAATATCGTGTTACCTAATATGGATACCTAAAAAAACTAAAAAAACTTTTGATACTATATGTGAAATTTGTCTATAATTAAAATTTTGGAGTGGGGTGTTTGAATATGAAACTCTGATTGACTAATTTGAATTTCACATGCGTGAATTGCAACATATAATATATAAAAATCGCGTGTAAATCGAAATTTATAATTAAAATTTTGGGGCGGGGTGTTTGGATATGAAATTCTGATTGGCTAATTGAATTTCACGCACGTGAATTGCAAATTCACATAGATTTCATTTTCACGCACAACAGTAAAATGACATATCAAACAAAATGAAAATCGTAGAAGGTCTTAGCTTCAAAAGCTACGATTTGTTTTTTGATGTTACACTTCCATTTTTGGACGTACTAAAGGATCTACGAGACCAATAAAAAGTTGCGGAACTAGATGTCTTGCACTATAGTTAGTACAGAGTACGCATACCATTATTATTATATGGTATAATAGAAACGTAAAATTTTACAAGTTAGGAGACCATACAAAGATAATCATTTAAATGAAACAAAAAAGGTAAAAAGAGTCTTACGATTGTTTCTTTATTTGCTTATTAGGTTGGCAAATATAAGAATGACCCGGGTCCTGATCCTTGAATTTGACATACAACATGTGTTTAGGGAAACTTTTTAATAATCCAGGCCTACAACAGGTTGGGGGTTCTGGTCGAACTTGCAACAATCATATCCATAATTTGGGCAGACATTTTATAAAGCTGGCCGATCATGATTAGAAATTATGTGACGGGTCAGATTTGTGTTTGATAAACTCGACCTTTGTATAATTCAATATCAATATGTAATTAATTATGATATATTTGCAAATAATATATATATATATTAAAATCACATAATTATTGTTATCACATATAATAAAAATAAAGAAAAAAAGAGGTCATTTGTTTATATATTAATATTTGAAATAAATACATTCTCATTAATGTTGAATATCGTCCCATCCTCTTCCTTTAACTTGTGTCAACGCCTCTTTGGTGATAACTTTTCCAGCACTAAAATATCCATCAGCAATTTTAGCATCAATTTCAACACTAGAATTTATTGAAAAAGAGTGGGATATATATTAATCAATTTAATAATAAAAAAGTGAAATCGTGTAAACAAATAAATAAGTATATGAATACCGTGAATCAGGAGGAATCAATTCATCTGGAATTGGTACTCGTTCAAGTATCGAAATTCCAGAATCCACAATAGCTTCGTGTTTCATATTCGACATTGACATCATCCTATCGATTTTTTTAATACCAAGCCAATGTAAAACATCAGGCATTAATGCTTGAAATCGCATATCTTTAACACCGGCGATATTTTCTGTTGGTAATAATAGTAATAACAATAATAATGTTTTTTTTTCAAGATTTATAAAGTTAATCATTTTTAATAAAGATTTTCTTTTTTAAAAAAAATTTTCAAAGATTAGCACCTGTTCGTAAAAAATAATTGTCTGCCGTGTCACCACCAGTAGCACGTTTACGAGCATTATACACAAGGTATTTAGTGACTTCGCCTAAAGCTCTTCCCTCTTTACGGACTACAAAATGATTAATAAAGCTTTATTAATTAATACCCCAATGTTTGATTAAACATTTTTACTGAGTAACTGTTAATAAATACATACAATAGACTATAACACCAGAGCCTCCATTTTGAGCTTCTTTAACACATTCCTCCATACCATAAATCAAGTAAGGTCTACAAGTACAAATGTCTGACCCAAATACATCAGATCCATTACATTCATCATGAACACGAACAGTTAATCTTTTTGTTACATCATGGACATTATTCGGATTTCCAAAAATATAAACAGTTAAGCCACCAATTGGAGGCAAAAAGACCTTAAGATCTGGTCTGGTAATTAATTCCGGATACATTCCACCTGTTTCTTCAAACAACGCACGACGTAAAATTCCCTCCTCGATATTAAATCTTTTAGCAACACCTGGAAGGTACCAAACAGGCTCTACAGCAGCTTTTACAACATCCAATTCGCCACTATCGTTCAATACAATCTTTCCGTCAACTTTAAGTTTACCAGATTTTACGGCGTTTTCAATTTCAGCCAACTTCATATGTGCTTTAGTTATTGCAATTGTGGGACGAATGTCAAGACCTTGATTTATTAGTTCAGAAAACATTGAAGTGGTAAGATGGCCGAATGGATCTAACGAGACGATCTTTTCAGGGATTCCCCATTGTTGATAAGGTCCTATGGTTACCGTAGGTTCAGTATTTTGAAAGTTTGGACGATGGTTAGGATCAAGTGCACCCATAGCGATAGTTAAAGCACGATAGACACAATATGAGCCTCCGTATGCTCCAATAGAATTACTTTATATAATTTATTATTTTTCAAGAAAAATATTATCATCATGTTCAATTATAGTTATTACTCTAAAAGAAAAATGAAAATATTACAAACCGTATTTTAATTGAAGAAGCATTACGTGATGCTAAAATAGGACCACGAAGTTTTGGATCAAGCTCACCCCATTTTAAAGGAATCGGTTTGATCCCAAATTGATCAGGATAAGCTAAATAAATAATGATAAATAAATAAATAAAAGAAAGAAAAGCATGCTCTTTAGATCATTGATTGTTATTATATACAGTACTTGTTAGTATTACTCTGTCATTATATATTGTTGCTTTCGGAGCTATTATTGTTGATGAGATATTATTACTAGATTTTTGAGTTTGAGTTTGATTGTCTGTTAAATAGAGATATAATTCTTTTAGATTGATGTAAAGTTATATATGAAATTATATATATATATATATATATAAGAAATTAATTATAACCTTCTGTGGAAGTCTTTGTAGATTTTTTAGATTCGGTTGTTTGTATTTGAGCTTTTAATTCATTTTGTTTTTGAAATTCATTAAACTAATGGAAAAACATCAATATTTTAAAAAAAAACTTATTTTATTTATTGCAAATTAACAATTATTTACCTTGGAAAATAAAATTTTTTGTTGTTCCTCCAATGATTTGACCGCTTCCAAAACTTGCAAAAGTAATTTTTCATTAGAATTTGACATTTTTTGTTTTAGTTTGAATTTGTAAAATTTGATGAATTTGATAATCGAGTATAAAGATATTAAATAACACATACATTGATTAAATGCATGTGACGTATCATGTGTATCAAATGTATGTGTCGAACCAAAAAAAGTTAATTTTCAATTCATTCATATATCTAAAGATTGGTTTTTTGAAGTTTTCAAGAATTCTGTAAGATCAATCATTTATTTATTTATTTCAAATAAATAAAAATAAACTTATATTAAAATGTCTTTGATAATATCCAAACATCCTTTGGTTGCTCATAAAATCTCACTTCTTCGTAATAAGGACACAAAGCCAAAACAAGTTCGGGAACTATTAAATGAAATCGGTCAATTACTTGCATATGAAGCTACACTAGACTTACCATTAAAATCAACTAATATTGTACGTATGGCACGTATACGTATTTAAGTTTTATAACAAATATGTCTAACTAATTTTCTCTAATCAATTAATATTTACAGTTAAAAGGCCCATTGGATCAATATCAAGGAGTTGAGATCGATTGTAAAATAGGTCTCGTGCCTATTTTAAGATCAGGATTAAGTTTTGTCAATGGTAAATTTAATAGATTATTGATGATGGTGATGATGATGATGATGGTGGTGGTGGTGGTGATGATGATGGTGATGATGGTGATGATGATAGTAACAATTAATGAAATTGCTTTTTTTTAATCTTTCTTATACATACAAGCATTCCAAGAGTTAATACCTACAGCCAGAGTTTTACATTTGGGTATTTTTCGAGAAAAGGTAAAAAATTCACTAACTTTACTTTTTTTTTTTTTTTTCTTTTTTAGATAAATAAATTAAAAATCATTCTTTTGGTAGATCTCATTACAACCTGTTGAGTACTATAATAAATTACCATCAGAACCAAATATTGATCAAGTGATAGTGTTGGAACCGATGATTGCAACTGGTGGTACAGCCAATGCTACTATCAATATTTTAAAAGATTGGGGTATAAAAAACAAGATCAAGTTTATAAGTGTTTGTGCCTCTCGTCAGGTAAGAACGACAATAATGATAATAATAAATAATCAAGAAAATAAAATCGCATTAATAATAGATTCTTTACTTTTTATATTGTTTGGAAAAAGGGAATTGAATATATTTTGAAAATGCACACAGATGTTGAAATATTTGTTGGAGTTGTGGATGAAATCTTGGATGAGCATGGGTAATAGAGAATTCTCATTTTTTTCATAATCGTATATATATTATATATACACATTTCTAATATGAATGATTATATTATTTGAAAAAGTTATATTATTCCAGGTTTAGGTGAGTAAGCTAAGCTTATTACTAAAATAATATTATTTATTAATAACGATTGAATATTTATTTTATTTTATTTAGGTGATGCTGGTGATAGATTATATGATACTACACATTTGTGAAATATGTATGGTACTTGCACAATAAAAAGAGTAATTTAATTTTACATTTTAAAATAAATAAAATAATTAATTTAATAAAATTGGTTTTCTTCAAGACGCAGTATTTCATGTGCGTATTTATAATTGTTTTGGTATTGTAACAGTCACTTGAACGATTTATTTAGTAAAGCAAATTTCTGTTTTTATAAATACGTAAACCTCAGTGGAAAAGTGGACAATATCAAATTCAATACGAGCTTTAGTCAGGCCACATAACCCGATACTTTATAATCAACATGCAAGCCTTTGGTATGACAATTTATTGAAAAATTCTATAAAAAGGAATTATAATCATTCTTAAAAACTTCAAAAATGGAAATATTAAAAAAGATCAAAGTTTTTTTTTTCAATTTGTAAAAATTGATTATCGTAAATAAACAAATAAGCACATATATAATGTTTCATGATGTTGAGATATTGTTATTCTTATTATTTTAAAGAATCTCTCTCTTAAAATAATTTTTTTTTAAAAAATGGCAGCTTCGAAAGTTTTTATTATTTTGTTAATTGTCATTGCATATGGAATTTTATTATTTGGTTTTTCGTTTATTGATTTTGAAAAGGCAAGGAAACTCAAACAAGATATAAACCCAATTACTCATTTTCCAGCATGGCATCCTCCTTCCGAAAGTAATTAATTAATTAATTAATTAATTAGAATTAGAAACTGTTTTTTTAGATTTATTAACTAACCGTCTTTAATTTTACATATCATAACATTTCCATATTTTTTATATAGTGTTTTATGATAATCCATTGAGATCAATAGGACTGCTTACGATTGTTATTACGCTACTTACTACAATTATTACGTATCGATACACATATTTCAGACCTCCAATCAACAAAAAAATGCAATCATATTTTTGCTCAAGCGACGATGATAGCAACAACAGTAGACGAATTTCAACACTTTCCTTCAACAAAACTATTGCACATTACAATTGTGCCACATTTTCATCATCTATAGCCTATTATTTCGTTGATCCTTCTAAAATATTTTTACCATTTGGAGCTCTACATAATCTTTTTGAGATGGCAATATTGATTTCATTTTTGACAGGCGGACGAATCAAAAATCCGAGTCAATTTTTCTTTTTATTCGCATATCTGATGTCACTAACTATAATTTGCGCTTATATTGATTGGCCTAATGATGCTTTGTTTTTTAAATTTCAAGGTAAAAAATAAAAATTATTTATTTAATTTTAAAAAGTAAATTAAAAAAAATTTATTTATAACATTATAATCATTTTTTTTTTAGGACTAATATTGGATGTTGCACTTGTGGTAGAATTTACTAGAATATATCTGAATACAAAATACTACATAAAGAATTATGAACAACAAGATTTGAATCCTGATAGTAATGATGATATCGAGGAATTGGCTGAAAATCACGAAAGTATTTATCTGGTTAATCATCCGACCCATTTACTAATTCTAGTATTTGCCTCTGCCACGCATCTTTTTGGAAATATTTATGCCACGTTCTTTTTAATGGATCTCATTGCGTAAGTAATTTATAATATTTTTATATAGAATTACTTAATATTTTTATTTTTTCTCCACTAACATTTAATTCTCTAATATATATCTTGTAGAAATTTCTTGTTTACGATCACATACTCTGTGACATTTTTCTCGTACACTTTTTACGTTTACTTGGACACAAATTCACTGACTCTTGTTAATTCTAGAAAATATATTTATTTACCAACCCCAACAAAATGGTCTTTCTTTCTTGTTGCAGCTTCATCTCTTTTCGTTTCTATGTTAACAATGGGAATTGGAGGAGCATTGACTTAATTCATCACAATCAATCATTCTTGATCATTCTTCCACCTGTACTTATATATTTATAAAACATATGAATTTGATGTATTTATTTATTTTTTAAGGTTTTCAATAAAATCGATTTTACTATTTTTAACAAGGTTGATGGACTGATAGACAGAAAATCTTTTAAATGTCATTATAATAATGGCTGATAATAACAGTAAGTCGGTTTTAATAAATCGGTAAAAGCCAGACATATTTTTAATAATTAGATCAACATTATATATTATAATCATTTTGTTGTGAGAAGAAAAAAATTTTTTTAATTTATTTACCTCGCTTTTTTTATTTAAAACGAAAGAATCAACTTTTATTTTATTTTTTTCAAAAGAAAAAAAACCATGTCTATTAAATATTTCTTTTTTAATCTTATTTTAATTATCGCGATAATATTATTGGTTGCAAGTTTTTTACCTGTCCAACGTAATAGTGGGAAGCCAGAACAAGCTACAAATCCAAATACACATTTATTAGTATGGCATCCTGATATTCCTGGTAAAAAAAAACTTTATAATTAAATAAAGAAATATATAAAGAAAATAAAGAAAACGGTTTAAATTTTTTTGTTGTGTTTTTTAGGTTATTATGGTGTCGAGATCCCTTCTATGGGACTTTTTTCAATAGTTATAACCGCTATTGGAACGATCATTGGCTACATTGTAGCTTTTAGAAATGGTCCTAAAGATGAAAAACATCTTTCATTATTTTATACCGTTGATTCACATAATAATGAGGTGCAAGAACCAATTCCAACCATTACATTCAATCGAATTATTGTCTTATACAATTTCGCGACGTTTGGATCTGCGGTTATTTTCTTTATATATGACGCATCGAAAATCTTTGTGTCAATTGCTATTCTACACAATTTGTTCGAGTTAATCATCATACTCGCTATTATTTCCGGTGGCAAATTCAGTAGTGTAGTAGAATATATTTTGCCTATTCTATACGTTCTTATTTTTGGTGGTATTTCTATATTTGCTGAATTTCCATTTGACGCTTCATTCTTTAAATTTCAAGGTAATTATTTTTGGTTTAATAATAGAAATTATTGTAATTTTTATAATTCTCTTTTTCTTTAATAATAATTATTCGCGTCCCTTTTTTATTATTCCAGGATTGATTCTCGATTTCGCGTTACCAATTATCTTTATGAATATATATTTGAACACTAGACGTAATCTTCACAATGATCCTAATTATTCATACAGCCGTAGTGGCGGAGGCAGTTATGCGGCAGTGTCAGAAGAAGAAGAACAACTTTTAGGGGAGGAATCAAGCGAAGACAATACTCGACAACACCGGCAACAAGTAGAAATACCAGTTGGAAAACAACCCGTTCGTGACGAGCCAAGTTACAAAAATGACACAATAAACCATCCTTGTCAATTATTATTGTTGGTTGTGGCTTCTTTAACTCACGTTCTTGGAAATTTCGTTCTAACACTTGTTCCATTCAAAATTATTACGCAAGTATTTTTATCCATTATCTTTTAAATGATTACGCAAAATAAAATTGATTAATTAATTTTTATTTTTTTTTTTGCATAATTTTTTTAGAACCGTTTTTTTCGAATTTACTTATTGCGTTGCATTTTCGACTTATATTTTTTATGTATTTTTGGACGTTAATTCACAATCCAAATATCCAACAAAACGAATTTATCTCTCCAAATTTTCTTTTATTAAAGCAACTACCATTTTCCTTGCTAGCTTATTCTTAGCACTTCTCTCAATTAGGCTCTTTACGCTTATTAATCCAAGCACAATGAAGTAAATCAATAAATGATGTCGAGATAATTTTTATTTTTTGCTATAACAATATTTTATAAAGAACTTTAATTTTTTATTTTTTCTGTTATTGTATATTTTACTTTCAAAAGAAACAAATAAAAACATTTGCTAATTTCTAAACAAAAATAATTATTACAATTTATTGACCAATTAATTTCGTTGATTTCTTCTTTTTTCGATTGATCCCAACATTAATATATTTAAGATATTTCCCCCATAATATTGAATTTGGTTTTTGAAATTCACTTAAAACCTTGACCCAATCTTCAGTTCCTAATTTCGTTATATTGTAAACTTCCCTTGCAACATACTCAATTTCCCATTCTATTTTATGATTTTCTGCAGATTTATTTAAATTATTGTAGTATTGTGTGTAGTCAAGAAGCGCACCAAAGCTATTTGATGATTGTGAGTATGAGTACACTCTAAAAGCAGGATTATTAACTAATAACAACAATTATAACAATGTTAATTTTATGCAAATGAATATATATAAAATGTAAGCATTATTTTACCCGAGATAATACTAGGTGCATTATTAAGTACTAATATTATCCTATCTGTTATTGCAGAGGGTTGTTCATGACCTAAGAAAACCAAGTTATATGGGTTTTGTGCATTATCTGATTCTGTGACCAATGTTAATGAATCTTGATTTGTATGTCCTTAGATACACAATATTATAATTATTATTTTTTATTATAATCATAATTATTAATGATTATTATTTATTACCAGTGAAATGTCCTAAAATCGTATCAGAATATGTTCCGAGTAACCTTATATATTTTTTGTAACATAAAGGATAATATGCAAGTTCTCCTGTTATATTTCAAAAAAAAATTTTTATTTTATTATTATTATTTTTATTTTAAATAATTCCTTTTAAAAAAAAAACTATCACCTGAAGAATCTAAAGGAGTAATATGTTGACTTATGTAAACATTTATTCCTCGAGACTTGGCATCGATCAACTCCATTTCCATCCATTTTAGTTGTTTGTAACCGGGAGAATCGATAACATCACAATCTTCAATTTCATCATTTGATTCATAAAGATACATCGAATTCAAATTTAGTACCGTCAATTTTGAATTAATATCTTGACGAAAATATCCTCCTCCGTTGATGAAATATTCTTCAGTTAAATTTAAATTTAAAGGTGCCCAGATATCTGTCAAATTTTGAAAAAAAGTATTTGGACCTCCTGGAAGTTGATTATGTTCTATTATATACATGTATATAAATTTTTGTAAATAGTAAAGTTTGAAACGTTGTGTTTAATTAGTTAGTTAGGTTTCTGATTAATTGTTGATTTAATTATTTAATTAATCAATAACTCAAATATAATTCTCTCGTCAAGTAATTTGTTAAATAATTACCCCATACATCATTATTTCCTATGGTCGGCATAAACTTAATCCTGGTCAAATCAAAATTATCTTTGACATATTCAACTATTTGTTGATGCCCCCATATTACATCCTCGTCGTACACTTGTAGGAATGGATCACGATCATGTCTTAGGCTGTCACCGGTATAAATTATGAAATCAATATCATCTTGAATATATTTTTTAAAATGCTCAAATGTCGAATTGATCAAGCTGTACGGTGAATCACATTCCGATCTCAGTGTACCAAATATTCCCGCTCGGTTTTTGTCAACATCGTCTGAATATCGATGACAGTATTGTGTTGGATCTGACAGTGGAAGGTAAAATGGATCAAGATGTATGTCTGGAGATAGTGAAAAAGAATATGGTGATGGCAAAAGGAAAAAAAGTGATGATATAGTGAGAATAATAAATAATGTGATGATTACGATATGATGACGTTATGATGATGATGATAATGATAAATAAATATATTACCTGTAATATGTAAAAATTTTCCCTTAAATCCTTCTTTATTTTCTACTGATCCAAATGTATATTGATAATTTGTTGGAGTAGATTCAATATAATTTATCGATAATAATAATGTTATGATTATAATAATATTATTATAATAGTAATAATATGACGATGCCATTTTCTTAAATAGTTTGAGGAAAAAATAAAAAATAAAAATTCATTTTATTTATAAATTGTTTGTAATTTGTAATTAAAAAACCACGAGGGTACTCAATTCGATGAAATCTTTCCTTCATTTTTTTTCAAATGATAATGATTTCATAAATAAAATTACTATGTACGGGGTTTTAGTCTTGAATTAGCAAGATTGTCTTTATTCATTGATCATATATACCTGTGTAATTTTTATATAAATTATTTGCAACTAAATTAAGTTGTAAATTAAACCTCCCTTTTCTTCCAATGAATTTGATTGGTATCAATCATCAATGCATGTAAAGTGCGTGTGTATGCATAATAATAAATAATATTTGTTGTATTATTCATTATTATTATTACTAATTCAATTTTAACTCCTTTCATTTTTTCCCTTTAAATATTTTTTTAATTTCATAGATAGTTTTTAATAAAAAACAGTATAGATTCTACTTTATTACCTATAGACACAAAATATTATGACGAGTAATCAGAGATTTGTTGATTATGTGTTTTTAGCTGGTTTACCTCATGATTTCAGGATAAGTCAAATAGAAAACGAAACTCATAAATCACCACCATCAACAACCACCACTGCTACCACACCCTCCATCACCACAAATAATACTAATAATGATAATAATAATAATATAATTAAAACCGCTACAACAATCGCCACCGCTGACGAAAGCGACGATAAAGAAAATGTTGGTTCAGTTGCAGATTCTCTTTACGAAAATATTTTTAGCAGCATTTTTAACAGCATTACAAAATTTGATCAAGAACGCGATGAATTTCTAAAATCTTTAGGTCGTGAAGTTGTAAAAGACACCGGAAAAAACTTACTAAATAATGATAACAATAGTAATAGTAATAGTAATAGTAACAATGAATCAATTAATGTAGCACACAGTCGATCTCTATTATTACAACAACCTAATGATTTATCATCATCGTCGGTTGTTAATCAATCACAAAAGTACAAAGATGATGATATTAAACAAAGATGTAAGTGAAAAATAAAATTAAAAATAATTAAAGAAAAGAAAAGAAGAAGTTTCATCTAGATAATGTGTATAGTGTATATATAGGATATGTGTTTTAAAGATGTTATAAATGTTATTCTGCAAGAACTATAAACATATATAAAAATGGATTTTACTTTTAAACGAGAATGTTGAAATATTCAAGATATAAAGAAGGGTAATTCATTCATTCATTCATCATCTATTACTATTAGAGAGTGTGCGTGAGTTTTTGATTATAGAATGAGATTGATTGATATATAGGTCTTTAGATTTTCAGTGGATTTTTTTCTTTTCTTTCTTTAATAATATGAAATTAATTCTAGAATATCATATTTTTTTGAAAAAAAATAAATATATTTATATATTAATTATTTCAAATAATGTTATTTCTTTTTCCTATAAACATATTCTCATCCAAACACACATATGCATATACAAAAAGGCTCATACCTAAATGTGGTACCTCAACAACCATCTTCAAAACACGACATTATAACAAAATCAATGTCTCATCCTTTGAAACAAAAATTTTCCCCACGTTTACTAGCAAAATACCCTCAATCCGATTATCCCGACGAAGATAGTTTTCCCTCTTATATACCTATGGTTCGTTGTAATTTGATTTGATGATGATAATAATAATAATAATAATAATAATAAGTATTATAGTAATAACAAGTTTTTTTTTTTTTTTTTACTAATAATAGTTTTGCTTTCCAAATGATATAATGATCAAAGAAAGCGAAGATTGTCCACCAGCAACTTTTCATGGATTTGTAATTATTTATTTATATATTTTTTTTATTTGCGAGAAATTAATTAAAAAAAATATTAATTATAATTTTTTTTCAGGTAATGACTCAAGAAGATGGTTCAAAACGTTATGGTGTCTGTTTAACAACTTATTATGCACCTTTACCAGATCATCTTATCGAAGAACTTGAGATTTTACATAAGAAATGGTGCGAGGCAAACATGGTATTTGAAATATTGTATTGTGTGTCTGATTTTTTTGTTGATTATTATAAGGATTATCATCATTTACTTGTTAACTAAATAACTAATTAATCATTATACATTAACATGTACGTGTATATATATGGATTTGAAAAAGGCTCCAAGTGAATTAGAATATATTAAACATCTTTTAGAAAAAGTTAGACAAGAAAGAAGAAGAGTAGAGACTGCTAAAGCAACCATATCTTTACAACGTTCTTCTAATACTACAATGGGAGATAAGAACGATGAACTTGATGAAATTTTAAAAGAAAAAGCTGATGCAGAAGATAAATTAGACTTATATCTTCAGCTTCTAGAACCAATTAAATTAGGTGTTTTTGATTCTACTAAATTATGGTTGCCAAAAGCTATTGGTGTTGTTTCTCATTTCCCATGGCATGATATTCTCAAGGATTGGTTATGTGCTGTTGTGATGCCGATGGTTGATTCTTTAAAAGAAAATAATCATAACCGATTAAAAACTTGCTTGCCCCTAGAAAGGTATTTATTATTATAATTTAAACAAACAAAAAAAAATCTTTTTAATAATAAAATTTTTCCCAACTTCAAAAATAAAATAATACCTAATTAGGTATATTGTAAACCTTGTTCATGAAATCCCACTTCCTCCTCCTGGAAAAGCACAAGTAGCAATATCAGTTAACGATATGACGCTATTTTGTTCTCGACCAGCATTAAATCAAAAACCAATATTGAAAGACGTTAGTTTTAATTTTAATTACTACTATCACTAACACTACAATTAATTAATAAATTTTTATTTTTTATTTACAACTATTTAATTTTAGTATTCTTTATATCCACTTTTTAGAAGTCTTTCCTTTAATACAATAATGACTTTATTTGAAGTATCTTATAATTCAATTATTTAACATATTCATTTATTATGTATATTATCGTTAAGAAAAATAAGATTTATAAAAAATTTTTTAATTAAAAAAAAACAATCTTTAGGTGGCTTTATCGGAGGGAAAAATACTTTTGATTTCTTCTTTTCCAGACATGCTTTATTTGGTAGCTCATAGTATTACATATTTATTATATCCATTTTATTGGCAAGGAGTCTTCATTCCAGTGTTACCTGCTAGATTAATGGCCTGTCTACAGGTAATATTTTTGTTTTAACCAAATCCAAATTTTTTGTCCAATTACGAATTTTTTAATTAATTACAAATATATATATATATATATAGGCACCTGTTCCATATATTATGGGAATTGAAAGACAATATAAAGGAATGGATTTACTTCCAGAAGATGTAAGGAATATCTATTTGCACGTATATATTATGATAATCATTATTTTTATTAATATTTTTATTTTACATTATATCTATATAATATATAGGCATGCATTGTTGATATAGATAGAGACACTGTATTAATTGCCGAACAACCAATACAAATTCCTCCACGTCAAAGAAAAAAATTATTACAATCATTAGGATCATATGTGCCACTTCATCAATCAAACCATCATAATCATCCTCATTATTCTGTCCCATACGGCATACCATTATACATTCAACAAGCATACCCGAACAATCGATTTACACCACATCATACCTCCACCAGATCGAAAATTGGTGACGAACATAGTGGTAATAGTATCGGTAAAATTGGTTCAGTGGTGGGGAGACCCGCACAACCAATTTCACTTGCGCCATTAATGTCCAAATTTCAAAAATTAGAAATTGATCCACAGGCACAAGCACAATTCGATGAACATTTAGCAAGCTTAAATAAAATTTCGAATAATAATAATGAAAACAATGCTAACCATACCAATAACAACAACAATAATCTCTTGAACGTATTGAATAATAATAAATTTGGTAGGGCAAGTGAATCGATAATCAATAATACAAATTCCCTTCAAAGAAGATTTTCCAATTTTAATCCATCTTTTGATAAATTTGGTGAAAATCGAGATGAAAACATGGTAAAAAAAAATTTTTTTTAAAATATAATTTATGTTATTATTTATATTGTTGACACATTTATTTATTTATCTATCAAGCATTTGAATCCAGATAAACATCCCAAAAGAATTAAGAATCGTTTTAGTTCAATTACTGGTGGTGCAAGGAATTCTATCATTGTATGTTATTTAATAATAATAAATTTTTCCTATTTATATATTTGTTTAGATATTTGTTAAAATCAAAATTATTTATTATATAGTCGATTCGTAACAAAGCTTTAGCAAGAAATAGCGTTTTTGGAGTCAACAAACTTGTTACACCGTTAAAAATATCTCATACAGCTCCTAGTTCTATTGATATAAGATTATCACCACCACAATTATCAATGTCGTCATCATCAGAGGCTACTACTAGTAATAGTAGCATAGATAATTTATCATTATTTGATGATAGTATGAGTGTTATGAGTGTGTTGACTGAATCAGAACAACGCGTTCTACCAGAGAAAAATTATATACCTAAAGAAGGTCATCTAATGGCACAAATATTTGGTGATGATGATGATGAACAATTTACAGGAAAATGTGGTATGAATATATTGATATTTGAAGGCATTGCGTGTGGAATATGTAACGAAAGTCTAGGAATTAATCTTATTTATAAATGTGAAGGTAATTAATATTTATATTCTAATAATATTATTATTATTATTAATATATTAATTTAAAAATTTTTATTTCTTTAGGTTGTTCTATGATGATTCATGAAGAATGTCTTTCAGATATTGTATATCCATGTGTTCCAGCTTGTTTTAATGAAGCTAAAGTTCAAGATGCTTTTCTACGAGTTTTTTCCTCCTTTTTACAAAATTATCGTTCATTTATGCTAAATAACAATGATAACAATAATTATGGTACAACAGATAATTATTCAAGATCAGGAGGAGAAAGTAATGAATTTTTAGATGATAGTGAAATTTTCAACAAAGACTTATTTCTTAAATCTGTTGATAGAGAATCAAAAGTAAAAATATTTATATTTATATTTTTTTTTTAAACATTAAACATTAAATATTAAAATAAAAATTATTAATACTATTAGCCATTTCTTTCACAACTTGTTGATTCTCAAGCATTTTCACAATTTATAAATCAACGTGTCAATGCCAAGAAAACAAGTGTTGGAAATTATGATGTTCAATATTTTGACGAAGTTATAAAAGCTAAGCTTAATCGTTCTAAACTAAGATTCTCCAAAGAATCTACTACATTCCTTGATGTAAGTTTTTTTTTAATACTTTTTTCCTCTTTGAAAATTTTTTAAAATTATTTAATAATAATTCTATTTTGTTTTAGGATTCTACATATGCAATATCACAAACCATAAGATCAATGAAACCAAATGAAGAAGGCCTTGAAGGTAAATAAATACATAAATTATTAATTTTATTAAATTTTCTATTAATTTATTCACTAAAAATAATTTATCATTTATTAATTAGAACAAGACTTTGAAGGTTATATTCATCTTCCCGACTCATTTGATCATGGTATTATGAATAATCCAAGACCGATAAAAAAAGGATGGTTGTAATGATAAATCGTTCATGTAGATTTTAGATTTTACTTGTATTATTATTATTACAAATAACTGATAATTGCAATATTAGTTTTTTAAAATAAATGTATCAATAAATTTTCTATTAATTAAATATGTATAATTGCTAAAATCAAGGTCATCTATTTAGTCGTGGAAATGTTTAAAATCTAATTTTTTATATACATATATATACTACTTTTTTTAAAACTCTTGTCCGTTTTTTTGATAGTTTGTAATTACGTAGTAATTCAACAAAGAGTAAAAAGCGGAAATTAATTATTAAAAAAGTAGTAAATAATAGTAATATACATTTGTAGGTATAAAAGTACCAAATTGATTGTTCCTATTTGTTATTTTTAATATATTGCTGCAACGAATACACTAATTTAATATTAGCTTCATTTTCTTTTCTTAACAAATAATTATCATTTACCAACTGTTGATTTCGAATTTTTTCTTTAGCTAATTCTTCTTGAAATTCCTTGATTTCGTTACATTGATTATTCAAATCTTCGAACTCAGCTTCTATTTCTTCATTTTCGGTTATTAATGAATTCAATGTACTTCTTAGATCATCAAGTTCACTTTCATATTTTTTTACTTCTTCCGACGCTTTAATTTTTTCTTCTTGCAAATTTATAATATCTAATTTTAATATTTGATTTGTTTCTTCAATCTCTTGATTTTTTTTTTCCAACTCTTGATTCCTTTCCTCTAAATCTTGGTTCTTTTCTTCCAATTTTTGGATTACTACTTCTTGTGCTGTTGTCTTAGTTGTCAAAACTTCGACCTTATTATTATTGTCATAGTCACCACTTTTTTTAAGAAGATTTCTTAATAGTTCGATTGATTGTTTGGATGCGCGCAATTTTCTTTCTTCTCTAACTAAATGAGATTCCAAAATTTCGCATAATTCAGAAGAAGTAAAAGTCATTCTTTCGATTTCTAACACATTATTGCTATTATTATTATTGATATCATTAGTAACAAAAATATTATTAATAGTATTATCAACATTATTATCACCGTTATTATGGTTAAAAGGATCGTATGGTGACAATGACGACGGTGCGGTCCAAAAATTAATATCATCTATTAATGAATCATAGTGTATTTGATTTTGATTGGAGTTTTCTGATCTTCTTGACTTTCCAGGTAAAGCTTTTGTATTATAATTATTATTATTATAATTGTTACAATTGTTATTAATGTTGTTGTTATTATTGTTCTTATTAAAATTGGAAAAAGAAGATAATGATAATGGTAATGAAGGTGATGGTAAAGAAGAGGATAAAGACATCATTGAAATATCAATATCATCTAAAAATTAAATTCAAGTATTAGTTGTAAAATCATAAATGAATAAATAAAAGGTTTACTTATTATATATAGAGAATAATAGTCACTGTTAATAATTCCAAAGGCTTCTAGCCTAAGTTGTTCTATATCCACCCATTGAAAAAATTTACAAGCTTTTTTTGGTTCATTAAAATAAAATTCGCAAGAAAAATATTCTCGTTGATTTTTTACACTATATCTTCTATTTGCTTTATTACCACAATAGCAACGAACATACTCATCGAGATTTTCTGAAATTTTAACATGTTTTGTTTTAATACTTTCCATATTATTAGTGGGAAATTTTATCCAACACTAATGACATTAATAATAATATTAAATGTGAAAATTTTATTGTGAAATTTGTTGGAAGATAATCAGTTTAGCTTTTTCACATGTCACACGAAATTCTGATAAAAAATTAAATAATAAACAAAATTTTACATAAATAAATAATTTCTAGTGGATCAATTTTATTTTGATCCCTCTACAGATTTTCTATTGATTTTTCTATACTATTTATTAACTCTATGGCTCTTCTTTTAATTTCTTCATTATGGCCCTGCAAAGCAGCAGATTGAAGATATTGCCTAGCCAAATTTATATTCTGTTCATAACCATGAGTTCCTTTAAGATAGAAATTACCTAAATTAAGTAATGCAATAGAATTTTCATTTTTAGCAGCAAGCTGTAAATATCTCTTAAATTCTTCAAGATACAATGTTTTATCCTTTTTATAAATTAGAAATGCGTATTGTGTTTGTGCATCTGCCACACCATTATCAGCTGCAATCTTATATAGTCTGGTTGCTTCTTCAATGTTTTCTTGTGTTGCCTCTCCCGATTCATTTGCTTTGCCTGCTTCTAATAAATACGCTTTCCAATAAATTGCCTCATAATCATTAAGGTCAGCATTATCACAAAAACATTTCCATGCTTTCTTAAAATTGTTTTCTTTATAGGCTCTTTTACCCTCTTCCATTTGTATCAATGGCTCAAAAACTTTTCTTTTGAATTCTACCTTCTCAAAATCTGTTGGCTTCTCAATACTATGACTATGAAGTTTATCATCTGAAATTTCATTTTTTGGAAGAAATTTAGCCAGATAATTACAACTTCCATGTTTTTTCCATAATCCTGTTAGTACATCCATAACTTCACCAAAAGTATGTCGTTCATATGGTACAGTTTCCCAAGCTAACATTTAAAGAATAAACCAACATTTAGTAATGTTAATATTGTAGCAGTAATAATAATAATAATTGTTATTATTATTATATATCATTTAATAATACCTTTTATAATGATTTCAATTAAACCTGATTGTATTTCTTTATTGTATTTTCCAATTTTTATTATTTCTCTTTGACCACTTAAAACATAATCTTTAATCTTCTCTGATTTTTTCCCTTTATATGGAACTTGTTGATAGGTAAGTTCCCAAAGAAGCATTCCAAAACTAATAATAATAATAATATTTATTAATGCTGTTTATATATATAGGTTGTTGATGAAAAAAAATATACCTAAACATTTCACAATAAAAATCATAACGTCGTGAATTTGGTTTTATGCCATCAACAGATATTTTTTCAGTAGGTATTTTTTCAGGTGCTAACCAAGGAAGATAATCTTCCATTCTTTCTACTTTTTTAGATGGTTGAGAAACTTCACGACTAAGGTGAAAATTTGAAATTTTTGGGTTTCCTTTCTCATCAATCTACAAATATGTATGTTAATATTAATATTAATATTAATATTATTTTTTATTTTATCAAAGAACTTACCAAAATATTTTCACATCTAACATCTCGATGTAAAATTTTACATCTATGCATGAATATGAGACCCCTGATAACATCATAAGCAATCTTTAATTTTGTAATCCAATTAATATAATTAGTTTCATATAAATCTTTTAAATTTCCTTTTTCTGCCCAGCCAAATATTAAGACATTGCGAGAATTGACATTTGAAGTGCCATAGAATTTAACAATATATTCACATTGAATAGCATTTAATATTATAAGTTGGCCATGAAACTTCTTGGTTTCAGCATCATTAACATCCTTTAAATCTCCTACAATATATTTACATGCTACATCAACTGTTCGCTTTAATACTTTCTTAACTACATTTTTATCTTTTCCTCTTATATCTGTTGATTTTCTGTCTTGTGGTTTCACATCCTCTATTTCGTTAGTATCAATTTTTGGTATTTTTAAGAGTTCTTGATTAAAATCAAAATCATTGATTTTCATAGATTTATTTAATTTCCCTATTAAAACTAATTTTCCTTGTGTTTCTAATGTTCCTACGTTCTGAACATAATTAATAAATATATTAAATATTTTGTTTTGGTTTTTTTATTTTTTAAAAAAAAAAACTTATTATTATTAACCTTAAAAGATTCATAAAAAATTTCCCACATTTTTTCCAAATTATGATAAATCCTAATTGTTATATTAAATTGTAAATCTGCACAAACTTTATCTAATTCATTACAATGAACTTCAAAACATTTTTTACAATGTTCAGCATTAGTAAAATGCTTGAATGCTCCATAGTTTGACATTTTTTTAATAAAGCTTTCAATATTTTCTAAAACTTTTTGTAATCTATTAAATGCTTTGAAATATGACTCTTCCCTAAAGTTTTCTTCATTCTCCTCCTTGGCTCTAACCAATTGTTTTACTGCAAGATGAGTCAATTCAACCCTATCAATTAATACTCCACATATTTTTTTATTGTCTTTGACTGTCTCATAACTTTTTATAATTCTTTCACATAAACCAGAGATTATACTAATTATTGGTAAGTAATTACTAAAGCTGTTTTCTATAGTTGATAATACTAGCTGCCCACTTGTAACTATCATTTCTCCTGTTGAAGGTGTTGTGGATGAACCAAGTGTATGAATATTATAATCATTACTATTAGTGGTGGTGCTGGTGATAGTAGAATTATTAATACTGCTGGTACTAGTCCGTCTACTGTGAGCGGGACTACAATTAACAGGTGTAGTTATATAAGTGCTACTACTACTTGAAGTTGTTGTTGATAAAGATTTATCATTTTTTCTTTTTAAAAATATTTTCTTGGTTGCTTTGAACATTTTTAATTAATCAATTCTCTTTGATACCCATCGATTTTTTTTGTTTTATATTATTATTTAATTTGAATTGTTGAACACATTTACTTTTTTGAAATTCCATTTTAAATTCATCCAAATTTGGAAAATTTTATCATGCGTGCGTACCATTATAACTTATTAAATAATAAAATTTTCAAGCAAATTTAGATCGATGATAATATTTTCTACTGTGAAGATCGAAAGAGAAATTAACAGATTTTTCTGATATATTATTAGTTAATAAACATTTTTTCTTAAATAAAACAATTTTATTAATATCAAACGATACTGTCGTCCATTTTGTCAGTTTGTGTCATACACGCGCTGACTAGAGTAGAAATACGTCATATAGAGGACCATGATAAAGTGTTTAGAATAAATAGAGAACATGATCTATGAAATCGAAAAAATAAGATCATGCCCGAAGTAAAAACGTTCTAGAACATCAATCTGTCAAAAGTAAAATAGATGTAAATATTCTGTTAAAATTTTTACAAGTAACTATAACACAGGCAGCGAACCTGAATTTAAAAACAATTCTGAAAGAACCTGATTCACACGATCTTCTAGCTGCACTATCGCTTGGTTTATTTTCTACACCATGGATAGCTAAAGTTGCAATTACTGATGATGACAACAATTGTTTTATTTTATCAAGGGAATCATACAACACTAGATTTTCTACTATTGCAGTAGCCTCGAAAAAGTCAGCTATTTTCATTGCCCTGGGAGAATTATTTAAAAGGTGAAAACCTTGTACAGATCATTTGTGGTGAGATTGAATGGCCATTTCCAAGGTTAATTAACATATATAGTGGGATTCGACCTTCTATTTATATAGTTAATTTACCAAAGAGTTTTGATAATACAAACTTTTTCAAATATATATATAAGGTTTCATATAATTATCTATATATATATCCAAATAGTATTATATTTTCTTAACAAGCAATTCACCTATAAGAATCTTAATCTTTGTTAATATAGAGGAGGTCAAACAATAAACGCCAACCTCATCCTTTACCCTTTCTCCACTAAGAATAAAAGGCCTGTAGAAATTGAATCTTCCAATAAATTTATTATAATCGATGTAAATAATTTACTTTCTCATGCCAATTAAAAACTTATCTTTGTTAATATAATAGAAATAATAAACAATTTAAAATTAAAGTTTGGTATCAAACCTAATAAGTAAATATACATATTGAAACAGTTAGTGAGAACCTTTACACAATTTGCAAAGAAATTGTATTATTGACTTCTTAAAACAATGATTTGATTAATAATTTCATTAAATTAAAATTAAAATGTTAAGGGATGAGATTTTTTTACAAAGAAAGAAAAGAAGTATATTTTCTAAATTCTACAAAAGGACACTCCAACACACAGTGAATTTGATGCTTTAGGAGTTAACCATATGATCTTAATTGGAAAAGTAAGATCATTTAACAAATAAATAAACAAGCAGAAACTAATTCTATTTATTATATCAGCTTTGTAAAAAAAATTTTAATTAGAAATACGTGTAAAAAGAAACTTAATAAAAAAAAATTTTTTTAACTTTTAATATTAATATTGGTGGCAAAAAAAAATGCGACAACGCGAAAAATTTTTTTCTTTTTAAAACTACCACTACTTTTATACATAAATAGATAATATTTAATATACATATTTTTGGAAATGTCGTCACCCAAGGAACAAATTAATCCAATAATTAACATAGATAATAGATACTTGGGAACTTTGTTCAGACAAACCACCGATCGTAATGCACAAGATCGTTACAAAGATGTTAGTCAGGAAGACTTGTTTCCTTTCATGCAAGAAAAACATATACCTTTACCACAATCTTTACAAACTATTATTGATTGGAATGCTACACACAGCGACAAGATACATTGTTTCTTAGGTTGTTTTCCTTATACCTACTTTGTTTATTTTGTAATTGAGAATAACTTATTTATTTGGGAATATGAAAAGGGCAATGATGCATCAGCTATAGGTCATATAGATTTTAGTCCGGACCAAGGCAAATTTATAAAAAGTGTAGGTCTTGTTAAGCCTAGACTAGATCGTTGGATTGATAATGCTCAATATGTTTTAGTTATAGCTACTGACAAATCATTGCATGTGTTTGGTTTGACTATTTCAGAAAGTCAAGGGATCACCTTTCATGATATGTCTTCACCAAATTATAAAACAGAGAATTATAGTAAAAAAACAATTGGTTCAATAGTTGGTACTGATAATGGTAGAATATTTTTAATAGATGATGGTGAACTTTGTGAGTTGATATATGATGATGAGCGTTGGTTTAATGAGCCTTGTAGACTGGAAGTTCATTCTCTCAATATTATCAATTCAACCCTAAGATTTATAAAAGGTGGTTACTCTAATTTTAAATCTTGTGTTGTTGATGATACGCGTAATATGGTTTATGCTATGGCTGATGATTATATTGTAGCTTATTATATGTCAAAAGATGATAGCTCCTTAAAATCTGTAGGCACTTATTCATTACAGGAGCATAATTCATTACTAAAAGGAACACTTGTTTCAATACATCCAATATACAATACAGATTCTCCTTATTTCTGGTTATTGGCTGTAACAAGCACTGGTCATCGTGGCTATTTTACTTGTTATCTTGACAATAGAAGTTTTAATTGGTGGCTATATTATGAATCTCCTTCCACCTTAAAATTTAAAGAACCTAATGGTTTACATATATTAGAAGTACATCATTTGCCACAACAACTTCAACAACAACAACAACAACAACAACAACAACGTCGTAATTCTTTTCAACTTTTCAATTATTATCATGGAATATTTTTTGCTGTAGGCAAAGACAATTCATCCTATAAATTAACCTATACTTCTCCGAATCATGGCTCCATGTTTCTAAAATTTATTCAAAACAAGGATCATATTTTTTCAGAGTACTATTTTTCTGTTGCCTTCAAAAATGTTTGGACTATGCAAGAAATTTATAATCCTTTATATAATCCAAAAAAATTTGATGAATACTCTAGTGAATTAATTAGCCAATTTGTTTTGCCTCAAAGAAGATTTCTTATATATACATCATCAGGAATTTATATTTGGGCTAAGAAAAGACCTGTTGATTACTTGAAAGAAATATTATTAAAAAATCAACAAAATCTTTTAAATGATTTCCTTACAAATTATGGTCCTGAACAAACCACTGCAATGTGCCTTTTGATAGGAAATGATCAAAGTCATCTTTTTTTTCAACATTTTAAATTAGGCTTTAATCAATTATATGAAGGTTTGGCATTTTGTCTGTCAAGAATTTTAAGGCCTATTTGGCATCAAAAAATTATTAGATCCATTCGTGTTCTTGGAAATGTTAATAAAGTACATGTAAACATACCATCAGAAATACTTGTTGATGTGGAAAAAAAATTAAAACATTTAAAAACATTCTTTGACAGCCATCCTTATTACAAAAAGCCACCATCTCAAATACATTTAGATTCCTCAACCATCCAAAACAATTCGATAACCATCTTATATGACTTCCTTGTTAATATGGCTGATGCAATTTCATTCATCTTATTAATGATTGAATATAATTTACCTGGGATAATTTCTAGTGTTTCAAAAAATCTTCAACAACTATTACTCCAATCCACTTATGAAGACTTGGTAACTGTTCAACAAGTAAGAAGTAGTTGGCATGATTTGGTATTAGTAATAATTAAAAATGAGAACAGTCCGCATATAGAAAACCTCAGTAGGAATTTAGAAACTAGATGCCCGGCATTTTGTAATGTTTCTGAGGCAAAAATGTATCAAGGCTATGAAGCTCTTCAAAAAGCAAAAAAAAAAAAGAATGAGGATGAACACAGCACTGACGAAGCACTAGGAATTTCGCTAAAGTTGTTTTGTGATTGTATCAATATTTTGACATACGGAACTTTAAATAATTTATGTCAAGAATATAAAAATTTAGGTTATTATGAAGGTGCAATAGAACTTTTATTGAAGGCATCGCAAAGTTTTGAATCCGCACCTGAAAAAAGAGCTTCAATTCTTGATCTCATCATAAAAACATTAAGAGATGCAGGTGTTTTTTCTGACACAATGACGCATAATCCACAAAAATATAATCCAGTTCTCCAAAAGGCTTTAAATCTTGGCACATCATTAAATGATCAAGCATTTCTTTTTGCTGTCTACGATGAATTTTTAAGAGCTGATTCTATACAACAACTTTTCATTCCTCCTGCTCCATTCCTCGAAGATTATTTAAATTCAACAGGTGATGGTATCTCATCTTCTATTTCAAGAAGAAAATTAGAATTGTATTGTGATTTTTGTGTAGTGCATCAACAATATATTAGGGCAGCTGAAATTAACGAGTATTTGGCACAGAAATCAGGTGATGATCTACTTTTGAAAGATCGATTACGTTATTTAAGTCATGCTGTTGGGCACATAGAAAGTGCAAAAGAATCAAATGAAAATGAAAGAAGTGTAATTGTTCTATTACAAAAATATCGTGCAGAGTTCAAGATTGCACAAATTCAATTTGACATTCTACAAGATATAGAAAAAATCTCAGAAGAAGAGTACAATAATAATGCAACCTCCTTTAGAAAACCAACTAAAACTGAATCAATATCACTACTTAATCAACATCTTTTAGATGCAAAAACTTTATTAAATGACTTTATTATACCTTATGATTTAAAAGAAAGAAAATCAGAGTTGACGCGAGTTTATATCTAATTATAAAATGTACACTTACAAGAAAAAATTTTTCTTAAATAAATGTTTCTTATCAAATGAAAACATTATATATTTTTAATATGTATTTATCATCATTGTCATCATCATCATTATATTAATGATCCAATTTTGTTACAAATTTCAATTCTTGCAAGAATATTTCTATTAAAATTGTTATATGGTTTTTAAGTTAATAACTTAAAGGTTTTTACGCCCATCACATTAATTGGGAGGGCGATCATATATAAAGATTAATATTAACATTAATATGGAAAGGAGATTTTTCTAAAATTCAGACAAAAAAAATAATTTTATTTGATAAATAATAAAACAATTAGTTGATTATAGAAATTACATTAAAAATTGGTTTAAATATAATAATTAAATGAAAATGAAAAAATCCAATAAGTTTCAAAGTTTTCATTCGCGACATTCTAAGAAAACCAATCTAATTAATTTCATATATATAGAATTTCCGATAATAAAATGTGCAGTTTTCAAATTGTTATTTCTCCCCCAATTCAACAATATAGGTACCGGATGTGTGTGAAAAGATAGTAAATAGGTAGTATTTAAAAACTCTGAGAGTTATTTACATTTTAAAAAATTCAGTATTGTAAAATATTCATTCGAAAATTTCCTTTATTGCAATCCTTTTTTTTTGTTCGATTACAGAACATAGAAAATTAACGGTACCTAGACGTTTCCCCGACAAACACATTTTGTATTACAATATTTATTTGTTTCCCTGTCATGTCATAGCCGGCTAAGTTTATCAAACCATTTAAGTCTATTAATCCATTCATTAGGCAACTAAGCTGTTTAAGTCGGTTAGACCATTTATTAGCTAATTAATATTAAATATAGTTAACAAAATCTTGTCGGAGAAATGTCCTGTTGGAGAAATGTATTTGTCGGGGAAACGTCCTGTCGGGGAAACGTACCAGACCCAAAATTAACATA